CAGCAAGAATGACTGGAAGTTACTTGGCAGCTTGTTTTATTTTGGAAAGAAAACAGAGTTTCAGAAAGGGCTTGATTCTTGCAATTAGCTTGTATGTCTGAGATTTTCCCTTTTTTACTACAAGAGCTGGGCAGTAATGCAAAATGTTAAAAAAATGAATGTTTTTCAGTTGGTTTCACTGCTTTCCAACTCAAGCAAATGCCTATTAAAGCTCATTTAGAACATGTCCAAAAAATTGTTTTTATTATAATAAAGTAATAATTATATCTTAACTAGAGAAACAAGAACATTGGTAATGGCTTCTATTGGGCTCATGCCATTTATTATTTTAAGTCCAGACAAAAAGCCCTGTCTCATTAAAGGCGACTGATGCCTGGCATCCCCTGGAAGGTTTCCTACAAACGTCAAGCCTCCCTGCAGGACCTCCTCCTGCCTGGGCTGGGACCCTCTTTAGCTCTCAGTGTTTCCCAGCATGGGTGAGCCGCTTCCCTGCCGAGCAGGTCCGCTGCTTCCCTGACCCCATAAATGCTCTTATGAGTAGCTTGTGAAACGGTCCAGCGGGGCAAGAGATGTTGCCCCTTCCACAAAATAGAAAGTTTAATTTTTGTTTAATGGCAACACGCTCTCAACTAATACAATCCCATCCCCAGGAACTTCATGAGATTATTCTGTAATTTCACTAATTAGATATTTTAGATTCATCAACATAATTTGCATGGTGTCAGTCACCATAGAGCCTATTCACCAAATAATTCACCCAATAAACTCAGAATGAGCCCTTTTGTTTGTGATTTTGCAGATGGAGCACAACATTTAGTCATCATTCTTCCCATCACAGGTGGCAATCCCATTTTCTTAGTGACTATGCCTCTTATTATTTATCTGCTGCTTTCTTGCTGTTCCTCTAATTCTTTTTTAATCTTTGCACTATCCTACAATTGTTCCTGAATACTGATGTCTCCTAGAGTTTTTGTCCCTTGAAAAGACAGATAATGCAGCAAGTAGCTGCCATAAGTGCAAAATAAAATGCTTAACCACATAACCATTTAAGAAATATCAGCTCTGATAAAGATGAGGAAACCTGTTTCAAATCACCAAATAGCAATTATTATGATGACTTTCGTATAACAGTAGGCTGCATTATGTTTGTTCAAAAGTCAAGCAATAGAAGATAATAAAAGGGTCATTAATTAATGCTAAATGATATTACCTGTTTTCAACTATAAAATCAGAGACTGAGTGTAACTTCATTCCTACGATCTTTGAAAAAAAAGCAAATAAATGAGAATGAGAGAAGTGTTATGTATTGACTTCGAAGCAGGGCATATTCCTTACTTAAGTGGAGATTATAATGCTATTTAAGGATGTATTTGCACTCAGAGTGACTTTCTCTAAAATCTGTGTACATGTGTATAAACACATACTCATTTTTAAATATATATATGCGCATAAAGGTTCAGCTAGCTTAGAATTTGAAATTCAACTGTATTTTCCTCAGGAGTCCCTGACTATCTTGAAAGATACGTGCAGTTAGTAGATAGCTTGAGGTACATTTGAACAACTGCGTTGCCTTTACCTGCTGTTATTATCAGAAAACAAGAGGAAACTGCGTGATGTCTTCTACTCTCCATTTAAAAACACCACAGGCACTAGTAAGTGTTTTAAACCATCTTTGCTTGAATAACCGTCTTAATGTCATCTGGCGTATTCTGACATTCACTAGCTATTGCAAGTTAGGTAAAAAATTGAATATACAGATAATTTTCTATAATAAAATATCACATTTTGGTGATAATACTAACTGAACGAACACTAACTTCACGTACAACCTGACAGTAGAAATGATGATCTATTATGTTAATTAACTTTACCAGAGTTAATAACTCATTGGATTATTTTTCTCTTCGCTACTGCTTGAAACTACCAAAATCAGAATCCTGAAACGTATCCATAACTAATGTGGATCATCACAGCTATTATCGCTTGATATGTCTATTTTATATAGCTTCAACGATTTAATATCTGGTCCACAGAGCTAACATTGCCATGAACTGGATGCATCATCTCCTGCAAAATGATTCCCTTTTCTAACATAATCTGGTGCTTCTCTGCTTTACTGGTGTCTTTTAGGTCTTTGCTTTAGCATGTCAACACATACAAAACTTATGCAGCTTATTTGGTTGTCATGTGTTATCTACATGACATTATCAACATTGCCAAGCACCTGCTGCCTGGCAGCAGCATTCTCTGCGTTGGGACGTGCAAAACCTGACTGCAAGGGGATCTTTGCGCTCGGGTGTAAACATTTGTATTGCAACCATTCAAACCGCCATGAAATGAATCCCCCTTTCTGCGTCATAACAGAGAAGGGAACATACATTTTTTTTGTGCAACTGTTTAGCATCTAGCCTGAATTCTTCTCATTTTCCTGGTTCGGACTGCTATGGAAAATTCAGACTAAGCACAAATTAATGCTCTCATCCTTTGGCACAGGTTCCGATTTCTCTTTTCTCAGCCTGTTGCACTGTCCTGAGTCATGATTCCTTATTCTTGGTCTTCAATTCCCTTGTTTCTTTGTTTGATCCAAACCCAACTGTGTCATCTACAAATTAGATGTGACAATTGTACGCAGCAGATTTTTCAAAGGTATTTTGGATACAGAAAGCAGCAAGTTTTAGTGATGCAAAGACTTCGTCTACTTCAATGTTTCAGTCTAATCTTTGATCTTGCTGCTCCATGTATATACCATTATACAATTATCACCTATGTGTCCCTGAATTGTCACGTATTTATTCAAGTCCTCACTCTTTCACTCATGCAAATGCTTATTTGCACAAGTTCCTTCTGTAGGTGCAGTAACTGCGTTGTGCAACTGCGGTAAGCAATCTTCCCTGCCGTCTCGTTTTGCGTTTAGAAATGATCGATAGTAGAGGAATTGTATCTGTGGCTAATGCACAGACACACACACCTCATAGCCTTACAGACCTCCTTACGCATAATTACGAAGCATATTCCCTTGTATTACAATAAATAGAGAAAGCAATCCATATTCATGTTGTTATGGCATCAGGCAGGATGGATAAAATCCTGCAGTCCCACTGAGGTGAAGTCAATGGGATTTCTACATAGTAAGAACTGGAAAAAAGACATCAGGAATTTTTCTGATATCATTAAGAGGCCCTTTCTGTATTACAAGTAAGGTGCATTGTATTACCCACTGTTTTCAACTGCAGAATATTTTACCGTTTGTCGTATTACACTGCATCCTGTTAGAAGTTCTTATTTAGCAGCTCTTACCACCTTCACATGGAAGCAATTGGACTCAGATCATGTGAAAATCTTTAAGGTGTTGTTAAGGAGATAAAGAATTTGAGGGGTTATTGGAAAAAATGAATTTAATGTCTTTGCTTACCACACAGGCAAATGCTTACTTTTATTTCTGTTTCCAGAGACAGAGCTCCAAAAATGTATGAGCTACTTAGGAGTAAGCTATTACTTACCACAGACTTTGCATATTTTAGAACAGTAAAATCAGTGTGGTGCCAGAGAAAGTCCTTGCACAGAGCGGACTTGTGTACCCCTCCTTGGGGAGAGGTACACAGATGCATATACAGAGAGGCATACTACTATTTAAACTCTTCAGTTAGCTGGAAAATTCATCCTTCAGCCCTACATCACCCCTGAAATTTGGATACATCAGATTTCAGATGAATATTTTATTTTACATCTTAAAGGCTCTTCACTACAAGAAGTAAAATAATTGTTATTAAATTCTCAGCAGATTACAAGGCATCTCCAGAACAGAGTGAAAAGGAGAGATTTGGGCCTTTGTGGTGCGCAACTTACTGAGCACTGGGGAAGAGGATTTTGCTTTTTGAAGAATATTTGCCTCCAGCATAATACCAATAATGGAAATAATATCAGATCATATAAAACTGAAGCTTTTATTCTCTGTAGAACTAAGGAATGATGAGAGAAGTACGCTGAGAATTTTACCCTTTAGATTAAATATTTGAATCGTGAATGTCTGAGACAATCAGTTTCAGTTCTGAAATTACCTTGCTATCTCAAGCATAGGAAGAATAAAAGACACTTTCTGTATTACAATTAAGACATGGAAAATTTTATTTTCAAGAAGATTTTATGCTTAACACAAGAGAAAGGTCTTTTTTTAAAATAGCGCTTAGCCTTAACGCCAGCTTTTCTAGCACTAGCTACACTTCAGCCCGTGCGTTCAGGGAGCGACCTGGACCCCGCCGCAGCCTGTTCCACAGAGAAACGCGCCATTGCGTCGGAACGCCGGCCGGGACACCTGCGGGATCGCGACTCACGCCCCGCCGCCAGCCTTCGCCGCGCCGCTTCTGTTCGCCGGCACAAACGTCGCGCCTTTCAGCTGACATCACAGCTGCTCACCGCGGCAACTCTCCCTATTGCCCGCACAGCAGACACGTAGCAGCGGGGC